ACATTCCACAGAGCCAAGAATGACATTATGCTCTATTTTTTTTCCCCCAAACCTTTCAGAGCATTACACAGACTTTGGAATTGAAAGATCAAGTATCAATCCAGATCTGCTCTCTGTGATTATGGGGAAGCAGCAGTTTTCCCTCTGGAAATGGGCATAACACCTACCTAACAATATAATAAGGATTAATGAGATGATGGCCACAAACTCAAGACTATTCTGTCAGTGCCTCAGGGAAAAAATAGCATTCTTCCTCCATTCACTACACTTCACAATTCAGACTCAAAAGAAAGAGATGTACATTAAATAAAATCAGTTTGTAGTTCATATACATTTCTTTATTTAGGAAATAAAACTAAAACCAGAGTTGTCTCTTTGTAAAGATTCTGCTCAGGTATGAATATCTTTGAAGTAACCACCTATGTAACATTAAGAACCAAGTTTGTAGGGCTTGGCTAGCTTCACTTAAATAGAACAGGAAGGAAGAGCATGAGGAAAAGACTAACAGTGAACTAAGACGAATGGTGGGAGAGAAAGGGAGAGAGAAGGGAAAGCATATGGAAACGGTAGGAGACCTTCAGTGATACACAAAATTATAAGAGGTTATGAGGGGCAAGGGGGAGGGGGGAAAAAAGGGAGAGAATTGAACAACAGCAGAGGAGGTAGAGAGGGAAGATGGGAGGGGAGAGAAGGAGAGGGGTGATAGTAGGGGATAGGAAAGGTAGCAGAATACAACAGTCACTAATATGCCATTATGTAAAAATGTGAGTATGTAACAGAAGTGAGTCTGCAATATGTATTTGGGGAGTTCAAAACCCAATTGAGTCAAATGTATGAAAGATGATATATCATGAGCTCTGTAATGTTTTGAACAATCAATAAAAAAAAATGGAAAAAAAAAAAAAGAACCAAGTTTGTAACATGTGAATGACTGTAACTCAAATGAAATACTACCTAGAAGAAAGATCTCTTGTTAGAAAAGATGCTCTTTGTCCTAAATCCTTCATTAACTGTAAGTCATCTTCATCCATCATATCTAAAGGAAGTGCTTCCTCTTCTTCCTCCTCTTCTTTCTCAATCCTTTTAACTATACAAAAAATAAAAAACAATTATTAGAGATGTAAACTCTTCACTTTGGGGTTCAAAACAAGAAAAGCTTATTTTTTTCTAAACTTTGGCCCAGTGTTTCTAACGGGAGCACCATCAACATCTTGAACATGACAATTCTTTATTGTACTGGGGTGCCCTGAGCTAGGAAAAATGCTAGCATCTCTGACTCCTCAATCTCAATGTCAACAGCATTCCCAGGCCATAGTAACCACCAAAAAATAAATGTCTCTCAGGGCAGTTAAGAACCAATGTCAGGGGCTGGAGATGTGGCTCAAGCGGTAGCGCGCTCGCCTGGCATGCGTGCGGCCCGGGTTCGATCCTCAGCACCACATACCAACAAGGATGTTGTGTCCACCGAGAACTAAAAAATAAAATATTAAAAATTCTCTCTCTCTCTCCTCTCTCACTCTCTCTTTAAAAAAAAAAAAAAAGAGAGAATTTATTAATAATAAAAAAAAAAAAAAGAACCAATGTCAGGGCTGAGGTCATGGCTCAGTGGTAGAGCACTTGCCTAGCATGTGTGAGGCACTGGGTTCAATTTTCAGCATCACATAAAATAAATAAATAAATAAAATAAGGATGTGTTCAATTACAACTAAAAATATTTAAAAAAAAAAAAAAAAGAACCAATGTCACTCTCTTAGCTCCTTCTCATCTCTCATGACTTTCACTTCCATTCCACTTCAGCTAATCTCTCCAAGTGCCATGTCTCAAATCCTGGTGCTCACCCTACTTTGAACACAAACTTTCAGGGTTCCAGCTCTCAGATACTCCCAATGCACTTCTTCATTAACTAAATGTAGACCTTCAATTCTTGAAATACTCCACTTTCTACCCATGTGTTCTGTCTTCAGTCCCTTACCTAGATTACATGGTATCACTTCAACCACTCTCATGCCAATATTCTCAATCCCTAAGATACTCACATCTCACAAAACCCAAACTATATATCATTTTAACTTCTCTGTCCTTTGCTCTCTTTTTCCATCTTTCTCTTTTTTTATGAGAGAGAAAAAAAGAGAGAGCGGGGAGGGGGGGGAGATCACTGTAAGAGCTAGTGTTTCAAATATAAGCAAGATGATCTTAATGCTTAAGAGAACTTAAAATTCTTCCTGATAGCAATAAGACTGGTAAATATTTTGATATAAATATAAACCCTGCACAGAGTGGCACTATAATCTACTGTAATGAAAATTCTATTTCTCAAACATAGCAGCAATGGGTGCATTTTCTTGGTCAGCTTTCTCTCTTCTGAAGAGGATTTTTCTATTTACCATCACACTTCTAACCCCATCATCTATCTCACTTTGTAATCATCAGAGGACCCAATTTCCTACTTTAATGAGAAATGAGAAGTCATAAGCTAAAAATTCCTCCAATTTCCCACAACAGCCTTTGCTTTCATCGTTTCCTTGTACTCTCAAATCTGTCTGACAGACTTTGCTTAGATGTTGAACTATAATAATGAAGACATTGCTGTTATTTATTAAAACTATTAGGACATTATGCTTTTTAAAGTGTAAAACTTAGAGGAAATCTTTAAAAGTACCTAAACCTAACTCACCCAATTCACTGTTTACAGATAAAGCATTTGGAGATTAAGTGACTAAGTCCACATAGCTTGTAAGTAACAAAATCAAGATAAAAGCCCAAGTTTCTTGACTTCCAGTCAAATGGCCTTGTACATAACACACTAATGTGTTGCCAAGGGATCAAACTACGTCAGGATTAAGAGAATGAGATGGATGTGGGGAGAATAGTTTAGGATATTTTTTGAATACCCTAAAAGTACCAGTGAAGTTGCAGAAACCGCCTGACTCAAAATTACTGTATTCTTTTCCTGTTTTGAGTAATGAAGTTCTTGAAAATAACCCAGACAATTAGAGCTCAAATTCAATCCAAGTTTACAAGTGAAAAAATGACAGAAGTTTAGAAAAGGAAATGTATCTTGGCAACACTTTGAAAAATGCAGAGTGAACTGAGGACATAGCTCAGAAATAGAGCACTTGACTAGAATGTACAAGGCCTGGTTCAAACCCAGCAACACACACACACACACACACACACACACACACACACACACACAGAATGTGATGTGCCAAAGAAAAACAATCTTTTCACCTTAGCCAACTTCAGGGAATGGGAAAGTGGTAGCATTGACACACTGCCCAACATTTATTTATATAGCTACTCTGAGCCTGTTTTCCCAAGTACTATATATTCAGATCTGCTTTTGAGACAAACTGCAAGCAAAGAGTAGCTGTTTCTCACAATGAAGACTGCATTGAAATGTGACTGTGATCATATATACAGAACTATTTTATCCTTACCTACACTTTGGAAGATCTGAGTACAAGAGTAGCTACTAGAAAGTAAAGTTCGCTCCATGAAGAATATTTCAGAATAATCAATGAAAACTAGGGCTCATAAATGATTTCACAATTACCTGGTCGTCTTCTCTTTGGGTCCTCCAGTGGAATGGGTTTCTTAGACACAGCATCTTTTACAGCTTGCCTTAATTTTCTCTGTTCCTTCCTGTACTTCTTGAGAGTGCTTTGTTGCTTATGTTGCTTGTTTTTTAACTTGTTTTCAAGTTTGACTTTACTAGTTTTTAGCAACTTTCGAAAGCTTGGGACCTGTTTTTTGTTTCGTCTCTAGAAAATAATAATAGAAGGAAGACAATACACTGAGAAATTTAAATTATTTTATTTTTATATCAAGTGAAAGAGAATTGATTCTAAATTTCACCAAATCAATCCCATGATTTTAATGTCACACAGCCATACATCTTGCATATAAAGCCGGATAACAAACTATGCCAGTAATCCTACAGAATGACACTGAAGTATTGGTCATTCCAAGTAGGGTTCTCCAGTAACCAGAACTGTGACTACAGTTACTCAAAGAGTCTAAGATCCAAAAACGATTAAGAATTGTTGATCTCATGGTAGACAGTTATTCAGGACCTTAGATTTAATACAGTTGTTTAACACAGAGCAATACAATGGCCCGCGTTACTGTTTTAACAATAACAACTGATATTTATATGCTGTTTTATCATTTGCAAACTGCTCTAACAAATTACCTACAACAGCTTAAATAGTGACTGCTGTTAGCTTCACATCACCGATGAAGATTTACCAAGGCTCAAAGAGGTTATGCAACTTGCAAAAGACCTCTCTAAACTGAGGAAGGCAAAACTGTCTTTGCATTCCACCACTCTTGCAGGTGACCCATCCTTCAGAAATCCAAATCCAAGCGTAATTCAATCTCTGAATTAAGGCAAACCACCTGACTTCCTATTTGTTTACCGTTTAAGGGTGAGACGGACTCGTCTGAGTGTAACTCAGACCATACACTCCCTGAAGTCTGGACCATGCTTCTCACCTTTAGCTAAAGGGTTCGACTAACATGGTTCAGAAGAACCCTTCCAGATCTGACACCTTAAGGATGCCAGATTCAGCGCTTAACTCGTCCGGGATTCCTGAAGCCCTGCACGCGCACAGCCGGAGATGACGAACCCGGGAAGCTGACAGTGAGTGGAGCTCGGAGGCCGATCTAAGCCACCGCCCCCTATTCGGTGGGTTTACCCCCACCGAAAAGGTAAACCAGGCACCGACTGTCAGTTACAGTGGCCCTTAAGTTGCGAGAACTCGGCTCTTAGGAACACTTACCGCCTTCATGCTTAGGCCTGAAAGGAGTCCGGACCCCACAAATTCACCCGAGATAAAGGTGATCCAGCAACACGGAGAAATCACACACGTGCTGGAGCTGAAACACTCCCTGAGCAGGAAGCGACCTCCAACTCCGCCCCATCCCTCGCCGCCGGAAATGGGAGGCGGGATTTCCGTAGGCGGGCTCGAGAGTGCGCCGTCTAGTGGTGACTGGTGGCGGCGCCCGGCGTGCGCGCGCACAAGCCCCTGCGAGCCGCGAGCCGCGCGGAGCCACAGTGGGAGTGCGACTTCTGCAAATTTCTTGGATTGATTCTCTGACTCTCGACCAGTTTCTTTAAAAGTCTTGAAGACTTGGCTTTTTCAATCATTGGTCTGTATTTTGCGCCTCTCTTCGCGTTGTTTTTAATATCCTGTTATAGACTCCGATTTTCGTAATCTTCTTTTCTCCGGAAAGTCTTGAGGGCAGAGGGAAAAAGCTCTTTCTCTGCGTATATCGCCCGCTTTTCCACGGGGACTCCGGGCGTCTTTGTGGGACAATGAATTTCTCATCAGCTCTCTCAAAGGTCTATGATTCTTGAAGTTTTATTTTAAAATATACTTTGCTTTAATTTTAGCCACTTATCTGATAAAGACCTAATTGGTGAGACCTATCTGCACTTCGATATTTTACAAATATTACCTTTGGATAAATTTTATATACTTAGTCATTCTGCCAAAGTCATTAATCTTTACTGGAAGTTTTATGCATTGCAAAAATAAGAATAAGTTATTCAAATGCTTGTCTCCCACTTTTTTCCCCTGGATAAATTTGAGAATTCTACTACAAGTTTAAAAAAAAAAATAGGCTTATGATTTTGGGGGAGGGGAGTGGGAGCGAGTACCGCGGATTGAACTCAGGGGCACGGTGACCACTGAACTACATCCCCAGCCCCATTTTGTATTTTATTTAGAGACAGGGTCTCACTGAGTTGCTTACCCCTCACCATTGCTGAGTCTGGCTTTGAACTCAAGATCCTCCTGTCTCAGCCTCCCAAGTCACTGAGCACAGCCCTGAAACCCCAACAGTGGCCTCACAGTCCTTACCAGGTGAGAAAATCCAGTAGAGGGTCAAGAGTTCTGAGGCTGTGGATGGTGTAGGCCTTAGGAAAACTGAAAAAAGAAACCTGCCCATTTCTGGATCCCACTTGGACCAAGAATCCCCTTCTATCTAGCATTCTTCTTTCTACCTCCCTCCAACTTCCCACTTGCTCTCTCTTTCCACACCCTGTCTCAGAAACAGCAGAGCCTGTCTCTCTGGAGTATTACTTCATCAAACAAATTAAAAACATCAGCCTGTGTTCTTCCCAAGTGCCTGAATTCCTTCCCAAACTTTCAGCATATCTGCGGTCACTCCCATCTTTTCAGCTTCCTTCTAGCTTCTCCAAGAATGAGGCACCCTCAAACCAGTTCAAAACCAACTCCTCCCAGCTTCTTCAGACTCTTGTATCATTAATTATCCCTTCTCTCCGGTATTGTTTTGTTGTTGTTGTTGTTGTTTTAATATTTTTTTTAGTTGTAGATGGACATAATACCTTTATTTTATTTATTTATTTATTTATTTATTTAGGTGGTGCTGGGGATCAAACCTGGTGCTTCATGCATGCTAGGCAAGCGCCCTACCACTGAGACACAACCCCAACCCCTCTCTCCTATTCTTTACCTTGTCCTTTTCCTAGTAAACCCTTCCTCTTAGCCTATAAACATATTCAAATCTCACTTTTTTTCTAATAAACTTTTAATTGTTGTTTTGTATTCCTCCTTTCCTGTTCATCCTTATTTCCAGAAAAAGGAACCAATACTTCCCTAGTGCCTCAACTTTCTCTTCTCTGTTATAGTCCACATCTGTGCTAACTTTTTGAGGAAATGTGTCATACTCTTGGCACACTTAAAGTTTATAATCAACCAAAATCTCTGGATCATTCTTAAGCATTTGCTGCCAAACTAAATCTCTCCTGTCTTGAATCTGAGTAGCTTATTGTTTGAAAACAAACTTTAAAATGGGAGTTTATAAGAGTCCTATTATTGTAATCTTAATGGTTTCTCAATTCTGTTCATCTTTGTGTCACCTGCCATTCACTCAAGGCATTGCTAAGCCTAGTTTGTACTTTGCATCCTCTTGGATCCTTCAGAGCTTTTCTAGATACAGATTAGTGGGGGTCACTGGGATATCCTAAACTAGTATTGCAGGTTTTCTATAGATTGTTGTGAGTCATTTTGGGAGGTTAAGAACCTATCTGAGGCTGGGGTTGTGGCTCAGTGGTACAGCGCTTGCCTAGCATGTGTGAGGCACTGGGTTCATTCGAGTAGCAGCACCACATGTAAATAAATAATAAAATAAAGATCCATCAATAACTAAAGTATATGTGTGTGTGTGTGTGTGTGTGTGTATATATATATACACTTTTTTTTTTTAAGAACCCATCTGGCCCTACTCATAACATTCCATAGAGACTGATCTCATTCAGGTCACCCAAAACCTCCAAATTGTTGTGGGTTTTTTCTAAGTGTGCATGAATTACATCATTCCTCCCTTTTCCTAGCCTCAATGGATCCCTCTGCTGCACTTGATGCTACACATTTCTCCTTTCTCACATTAGAATGTTGACTCCCTTGGCTCTCCTAACAGCTTCTTCCCTGGGCTCTCCTCCTACCTCTGTTTCTTCCTCCTTATGTCTCTTCAATATAGAAGATGCTCAGGGTTCTACACTTGGCCCACTTTTCTGCTTCTCTTCTTGCTCTACTTGCTCTTCTAGCATGATTTCATCCACCTATGGATTGCAAAGAGATTTTATCCAGCCCATATCTCTCCTCCAAGCTTCATTTGGTTTTGTAGTCACCTGCCTCTTGGACATTTCCACATGATAACCATGGAACTTCAAATTACCACATTCAAAATTGAACTGTTTTTTTATTTGTACCTCCAACCTTCCCTATTTCATTTAGTTATCTACAACTAGAATCCCAATATTCCAGAGATCTTTGGAAACAAGCCATGGCTTTCTTGGCCATTCACCATATTTGGGGAGTTTTTTGTTTGTTGGTTGGTTTGGTTTGGTATGATACCGGGGAGTAAATCCAGAGGTACTTAACCACTGAGCCATATCCCAGCCCTTTTTATTTTTTGTTTAGAGACAGTGTCTCATTAAGTTGCTTAGGGCCTCACTAAGATGCTGAGGCTGGCTTTGAATTTGGAATCATCCTGCCTCAGTCTCCCAGGTTGCTGGAATTACAGGCATATACCACCATGCCCAGTCCACTCACCGTATTATAATTTTTCTGTTTTCTATGAACAAACAGGTTTCAAAACTGCTACTGAGATGATGTAATACAGTAAGGCTTTAGATGTTCTATTTCCACAGGACAATTTATATAGGTTGTAACATAGGTCTATTTGAATGTTTGCCACATATAATAACCATTTATGACAGAAGAAGACCACCTCCTCTCAGTATCCCAAATTAGAAAAAAAAATGTCTAGGCTGGGGTTATGGCTCAGTGGTAGAGCACTTGCCTAAAGCATGTGAAGTTCTGGGTTCAATCCTCAGTACCACATAAAAATAAATGAAGGTATTGTATCTGTCTACAACTAAAAAAATTATTTAAAAAAAATGTCATTACTGTCAGCAATCTTGGACATAAAAGAGTCTGCAGGCTCTCCTACAGCTTATCCAAAGAAGACCTTGTGGGGATTAGGAAAAGTTTCCATTTCCTCAAGATAATTTATAGGCAAAAGTAAAACACCACCTCAGACAAACAAAAAAAATATATTTCTACAAATAAATAATGAGTGGTACCCCCTAGGGTTGGGCAATATACAGTCCTCCCATATGTTAAAGTGCTTAATCATGCTCAGACCTCTTTCTGTTTCTCCTAAGATTTTGGAGAGGGAAAGAGTCTAGACTCTGTTCAGACCGTTGAGAAAGTGCAACAAGTAAAAATCTCACCCTCACCCAGGGGCACAGAGGCCCATTCCTATAATCCCAGCAACTCTGATGGCCGAGGCAGGAGGATGGCAAATACAAAGCCACCCTGGGCAACTTAGACCTTGTCTCAAAATAAAACGTAAAAGGAGTTGGGCATGTAGCTCAGTGGTAGAATGCTTGCCTGGCATGGGCAAAACTCTGGGATTAATTCCCAGTAACAAAAGAAAAGAAAAAGAAAGAAATCTAATCATTAGAGGATTAAGAAATCATTAGGGTAATATTTAAGTATAACTTAAACTTACCTTGTCATTACTGTCATCAATCTTGGACATAAAAGAGTCTTTTATATCCATAAAAGTACATAAAAAAGTACTTTTTACTCAAAAGTACTTTTGAGATGTCAGTCTTGTAGTGATTTATAATATAATCTACTTATTAATTTGGGGCCTGTTATCAGAGGTCTAGAAGCCAGCTGTATGGCTATCAAGGAATCAGTAGTAATCACCAACTATTGTATAACTAATTAGAACAAATAAATAAATAAATATATGAAATTCATCAAGCCAAAGGGAAAAAAGAAACAAAACATAGAATTTATTTAGAATCTCAGGATATAGCACATCATAGTTATACTGATGTAAAAATGGGTGAACTAACAAATACTAAATAGCTGACTAAAATTGCATTAGATATAAAAATTTCAGACAAAACAAGATATTAGGGCAAGATGCTATAGAAAGTAAGCTGTACTGATCAACTGGTCAGATTATTTCTTCTTCAGATTTCTTATCTGTCTATCCTATATTTGTGTACATTCCAGCTGTCTGTTCTATGCACACCAATGGACATTTATCCTAATTTTCATAATAACTTTGCTATTTTTGTTATAATTTAAAACAACAGCAAGAAAAAAAAAGAAATCTCCAACTATAAAGAGAGACATCATTTCCAAGAGGTACTGATTAATCTCATTTTTGATATCATAAAATGTGAATTTTTATGATCTTATCATCCATTGAGTGTCCTTACAGAAATGTTTAGAAGTGGAGAATATATCTGTGTCTGATTATTTGATTGGAATTGGATTCCAATTCAGTATATCTGTTTCTAAGAGATTATATATACCTTTGGTCTTCCTCCTAATGACTAATGACCTTAGAGAAACTAAAAGCCCATAGTAGACTCAAGGTAGGTATTTTATATGTCTTATGAAAAATTATTAAATGATATGATATTATAAATGTAAATCTCCAAAATCTCAACATCCAGAATTTGAAAATATATATGTCATGGTCTGTTATATTTGACTACATTAAAAACAGTTGAGAAAATATAATAGAATTGAGAAAGTTAATTTTGCATAACCAAGTAGAGAATAATAGAAGAGATCCCATGGGTGCTAAAAGATAAAGGAAAACTGCTTTAGAGAAAATAGTAGAGAAATGTATACTTAAATGGAGCCTGCAGAAAGGACAAAGTTTAGATAGGATAATATCTTCTTAGCAAGGTCACAAATGTAATGCAAATAGATTATATTTTGTTCCCTCAGGAAATTAAAATAGTTAAGAATAATAATTAATTATTAAATTTAAAAAGATTTAACATTTTTTATGATACTAGAGATTGAACTCAGGGATACTCTACCACTGAGCTATATCCCTAACCCTTTTTGCTTTTTATTTTGAGATAGGGTCTTACTAAGTTGCTAGGCTGACCTCGAACTTGTGATCCTCCTGCCTCAGCCTCCCAAGTTGATAGGATTACAGGTACTCATCACCATGTCTGGCTAAAATTAATTTTTAACCAAAAGACAAAATAATAAAAATAAAGTAATGATACAGTAGATGTTGCTGGTGTTTCATCTACAGCCCTTCAGTACTTTCAATTCTATGCATGCCAAAAATGTTACCTGTAAGCATTTACAAATTTTCACTTAAAACTTTCCTGCACCTCTAGATGGCAGGACAGAAGTGTCAAAATTTCATCTGTGGAAAAAGCTTTCAACCAACAACAAAAAGAAAATGAAGAATAAATATGATAATTGTGGTAGGATGAAAAACATCTTCAAAAGCTATGAAGCCAAAATTCATGGAAGCCTATGACTATTACTGTACATGGACAAAAATGTGATTAAGTGCTGCAGTCTGGCTGGGCACAAAATAACTGAGCCACCACAAAAACTTGTAGATTCCAACAGCAACTCTTTATTCCCGAACTCTCACCGGCACTCTACACGCACATTCTGGGGAAAATACACCCTCCACCGGGCTCTGCGTACCAAATACCCTCTGAATCCGGAGAGAACTCAACGGGAACTCAAGGAGTGGGCGCCTGAGGCAGCAGGATGCGCCCTTTTCCCAGCAGGATCCACCTTAAACCCAGATCCGCCTTAATCCCTGAGCATGGTCACCTTTCAAATCAAAACTATGACCTGGGGTCCAAGGGAAGCCCATTTCCACAATGGAGAGTCCTCCCTCTAAGCAACATTGGGTAAGCTGACAAGGAAATTGCCATGTGGCTATGGCTCTCAGCAATTAAGTTAAGGATGTTGAGGTAGGGAGGTTAGGTGAGCAATCACACGGGTCCATATAAGAGTCAGGAAGGGGGATATTTCACACAGAAGAGAAGGTGGTATGACCACAGAGGCAGAGATTGGGGTGGTATAAACACAAATCCAGGAATGCCAGCAGCCACCAGAAGTGGGAAGAAACAAGGAATAAACTCTCTCCTTAAGTTTGGCTCACTGATATTGATTTCAGACTTCTGGCCCCTAAAACTGTGAAAGAGTAAATTTCTATTTTAAGCTATAAGTTTCTGGTATTTTTGTGATAGCATCCATAGAAAACAAATACACCAATAATTATACCAGTGACAGTGCTCCTTGGAGGTAGGAAAACTCTTGAGGATTTTACTACATCATCTCCTAAGGGCTCATAAAAGGATTGAGTCTCACCTACAGAGGCAGCCTGCTCATCATCACACCGTTAGCATCTTTCTCTTCCCAGTCTCACTTCTCCACTCTGCAATCCGTGGTTCCTGGACTCACCTCAAAATAAACCACTTGCACTCAAGCCCATATATATATGTGTATGTGTGTGTATATATGTACACACACACATGCATATATATATATATAAATTCCCTATGGATGCCATAACAAAATACTATATGTTGAGTATATACGCACACACACATACTATATAAATTCCCTATGGATGCCATAACAAAATACTATATATTGAGTAGCTTAAAATAATAGAAATGTTTTCTTGTACGGTTCTGGAGACCAAGTCTAAGAACAAGTTATTGGCAGAACTCTCTCCTTTTTAGGGCTCTGAGGGAGAACCTGTTTCTCACTTCTGTTTTCACTTCTAGTGACAGCTAGCAGTCCTCAGCATTCTTTGGCTCATGAATGCATCCTTCTAGTCTAGACCTCCATCTTTATACAGCATTCTTCCTGTCTCTGTGCTTTCATGTAGCTATTTTTTCTTTCGCTTTACCACTGAGCCACAAACCGGGCCCCTTCTTTTTTTCTTTTTTTTTAAATTTGTGTGTGTGTCTTGAGGGGTGGTTAAACCCAGAAGTGCTTTACCACTCAGCTAAATCCCCAGCCCTTTTCATTTTTTAATATATTTTATTTATTTTTGGTGCTGAGTATTGAGCCCAGGGCCTCACACGTGCCATGTGAATGCCCCACCGCTGAGCCACAACCCCAGCCCCCTTTTTATTTTTTATTTTGAGACAGGATATTGCTAAATTGATTAGGGCCTCAGTAAGTTGCTGAAGCTGGCCTCAAATTTGGTATCCTCCTGCCTCAGCCTCCCAGTTGCTGGGATTACCCATATGCACCACCATGCCCAGCTTAAGACCCTATTTCTAAATAAGAATGAATTCATAAATACCTGGGTTTAGAATTTTAACAAACAATAGCCCCCCCACTTATCCACAGGGGATATTTTTCGAGACTCATGACTGAACTGAACCCTACCTATACTCTGTTTTTTCTTATACAGACATAGCTATGATAAAGATTAATCTATAAATTAGGCAAAGTAAGAGATCAATAATAACTAATAATACAATGAAACAAGTATATACTTTAATAAAAATTCTATGAGTGTACTCTGTCTGACTGAACTAGAGAAAGAAACTTCAGCCAAATGAGGACTACTGAATCTTTTTTGGGTGGGGTACAATTAAACCTGACTCAGGGTCAAATACAGGAGACTCCAGTCTATGATAACTACCAGTATGTAAGCACTTTTTGTTTCCAAACGAAGTGTAAATTATTGCATTTTATCGCTAGTAATTTTATAAGATAAATATTAGCTTCATTTAATTATTTCTCATTTAATTAAGATTCAGACGACTGGATATACTATGGCAAAGTCTGTGTTTACACCAGGTGGGAAATGTAACCAGATGCCAGTCCCACTAGTGGGAGTAGTTTTTCAGCACAAGGGATCAAATACCTAATGCCTTTTTCCTAATCTACAATGTTATAATCAGGAGAAAATTAAAGAGGGATTCTTCTAATGTTGTGATATGTGTTCTTTTCCATTTAAGATTCTTGCTGATAAGTTCAAGTAAGTCATGACCTTTCCTTTTTGTTTATTTTCATTGGTGATTCAGAGCCATTCTTTATTTATTCATTGCCTTTCAAAATCCCTAGGGAAGGGGAAGTAGATTCCATGCACAAAGTCATGTACAGTTACTGATAGTCCCTTGGGCAGCACAAGTTCCCCACTCTCCTCTCTGTACCAGACTCTGCTAGGAGCTCTCTGTGAAAGAAGCTCTGTGAAACAAGGATGTATTGTCTCTAGGGTCTCTATTCTAAAGTTGCTGGGAAGCGTAGCTGAGCAGGAAAAAGACCAGAGAATGAAACATCTAAGGTATCATGTGTATTACTCTCACATCTCCTACAACACCACTCTGCTTATTCTATTGTATTCTTTACTCCATTCATCAAAGTGCAAGTCCTTCTTCTGGTTACAGTTTTGGAAATACGTTGGCATAGTGGCATATACCTATAATCCCAGTGACTCTGGAGGCTGGGCAGGGTGATTGCAACTTTGAGGTCAACCTGGACAACTTAGTAAGAGACCCAGTTTCACAAGAAAAAATAAGAAGGATTGGGGATGTGGCTCAGTGGTAGAGGGTCCCTGGGTTCAATCCCCATTACTGAAAACAAACCCATACAAATAACAACAAAAAAAGTTTAGAAATATTTCTGTTTGTGGATTTATCCACACTCTATTCCAAAAACGTGCTTGGGTGAAATTTATGCTTCTGATTGCTTTCCTTCATTTTCTAAGAGATGCTGTTACTGTATTTTAAACCATTTGAGCAAATAAATGGATACATAAGTAATATCAGTGGGTAACATGAGTTGGATGAGAGGTCTGGATAATCAAAAATGTATCTTCCAACATTCACACCAGAAAAAAGATAAAAATGTGTCCCTTTGAAATTTCTTTCTTGAGCTCATTGGGGGAAAAAAGACTTCAATTATCCTTTCTAGGACTTTTAAATAATGATAATAAAAGGAATTTGGCAGTTTGGGGAAGTGGAAAAAAAACTGATAGGCTTTCAAATTGACCTAATGATATAGTGTATCAGTTCCAGTAAGTGAATGAGTCATTTTCTTTATTTTTATTTTTTAGTTGTAGTTGGATACAATATTTTTAATTAATTAATTAATTTTTATGTGATGCTGAGGATTGAACAACGGCCTCACCGTGGTAGGCTCTGCCGCTGAGCCACAATCCCAGCCCCTTGTTTCTTTTTTTAACTTTATTTATTTTTTTTAAGTTGATGCTGAGGATCAAACTCAGCACCTCACACATGCGAGGCAAGTGCTCTACCACTGAGGCACAACCTCAGCCCTGAATGAGTTATTTCTTGATACTTAATCAACTACTCTAAAACTTAGCAACTTAAAAGAATAATAAACATTTATTATTTCATACAGTTTCTGTGGGAATGGACTTTAGGAGTGGCTTAGCGGACTTGTTCTGATTCTGGAGATTCCAGTCTGGGTGTTGATCAGGACTACAGACACCTGAAAACATTACCAAGGCTTGGGGATTCACTTCCATTATTGCTTGCTCACATGACTATGGCAGAAAGCTTCCATTTCTCACTTGTGAACCTCACCTCTGGACCACTTCAATACCTTCATAGCAAAGCAGCTGACTTCAAGGAGCAAGTCATCCAAGAGAGAACATAGTGGAAAGCTCTAATGCTTTTTTTGTTTTGTTTTTTTGGTAGTGCTTGGGCTTGAACCGAGGGCCTTACATCTGCTAAGCAAGCATTATTCACTAAGCTATACCCCTGGCCTTGTAATGCCTTTAACATCTAGTAGTGAAAGTCATCATTCCTGCCAATCCATTTGTTAGGAGTCAGTCACTTAATCCAGACAAACTCAGTGATAAGGCAATTAGACTTCATCTCTTGAAGGGAGGAGTATTAAAAAATTATAACTCAGTGGTAGAACCCAGCCTAGCATCATGGCCCTGAGCTCAATCTCCAACACTGCAAAAAAAAAAAAAAAAAAAAAAAACAGAAGAAAGAAAAGAAAAATTACAGACATAAATTTAAACCATCAAAGATAAAGAGATAAGAAATTCAATTAGCATTCATTGAGCATCTTTATTGAAAATTGGGTGGAAATTGGAATTAAAACACAAATTATTTTCCTTTCACTAAAGAATTTTCTGTAGGCAGACAGCCAATTTTAGAATACAAAATACTATAGTGTATATATAGGGCATATAATAAGTTTAAAGCTAATGGAACATGAAAGTGAAAAATTGTGGAAAGCTTGAGGCACTGGTTTTCTGCAGAGTAAAGGGGAAAGGATATTTTGTATTCTGTGTGATTACCCATTCATAAAATTTACCACAACATGTACTAAGGACTAAATAACAAAGTACAGAAATAGTGACCTATACTGTCTTATAACTCTCAATACCTAGATCAGTTTTGAACATAGTAAGAGTCAATAAATATTTACTTGGCTGTTGAATTGAATTGAATTGATGAATTAAGATGACTCCTAAGTATAGACTAAGTAAACCCATTGGTTTATTGTAGATTTTAAGTGCTATGGGTCTTCTGAGTGTTTTCTGTTACCAGTTTCTTTGACATTATCAACTCTTTCCTGAAGAATTTAAAGCAGCCACAGGAATACAAACTGGAGGACCATGAAACAAACTGTGCCAACCAACTTGTT